AGAATTTAAACAAATATAAAGACAACTGAAACCATCCTGCCAGGATTCACAAAAGCCAGAATAATTCTAACTGATGCTGAGTCTGACGACAGCTACGCAGAAGAGAAAGCGGCGCTCCATTTACCTCCGGAGGTCGCAGAGTTACTCAGAAGTGACACCAAGGATGAAGAATTCAATGGATTTAGAGATTTGGAGTGAGATTGAGCGTTTGGTAAACTTGGTAAACCAAAAATGCAACTTATAGTCCTGTGTGACTTATATGTTATTTTTCCTCTTTCTTTACGCATTCTTTGGCTGGTGCAACTTATACTCTGGACTGACTTTTAGTCTGAAAAATATGGTATGCAGGGTTTGTGTGTTAAACATGTTGAATGAAACTACTATTTATGGCTTGGGAATGTGCAAATCACTGAAAAAATAAATAAATAAATGTTAACTCTACTTAAATACATGACGTCTTTTTATTATTTTGTGTGTTTCTCCTTTTTTCTCCTTCCATTTTCCTTTCATTTGTCAAACACTTTTCTTCGTCGCAGTAGTAGAACCATCAGCCTCGCCATTTCCTGCCCAACTACAGGTCATGGTGACATTCGTGAATGGGTCGGCTCTTTTGAACAGTTCTTTAATGTAAATTTGGAACCTGATTTCACTCTTCAAAAGAACCAAATCTTTTTTTTTTTTTTTTTTTTTCTAATGTGCATGCATTTTTACACGTTATTAACACTGAAACGACACAGGACTGACCATACGCTGAATCATAATAACATAATAATCATTTCCAAACAGGAAGTGAGCTCGGGGTCGACTGCTGCTGGTCTTAAAATGTTCATATTAACTTAGACTTAAACTTACACAAACTTTATTGATCCACAAGGGAAATTATTTGGTCACAGTAGCTCACACATCACAATATAATAAAAATAATAAAGAGCAAATATATAAATGGTAATAATAAATAATCCGCTCTACTTGATCCTGGTGTTTTTATTTCACTTTTTTTTTCCGTAAATAAATTTGTATTCTTAATATGGAACTCCAAATTTGCCTCATAACTGTAGGCCTCGGTGAGCTTCATTTGACTGGAGCCGAAACCCTGTGGATGACGTCAGACTCACTCGCTCCACTTCTTTAAACAAACTATTCCTCGGTCGTTTGTCTCCGTGATTAGTTTATGAAATGAGTTCTCACACTGGCTTATGTCATGTAAATAAATATAGAAAGAGACAGTCTTTTAAACGGCTCTTTGAAATAAACAGATAGAAAAAAAAGAGCCAAAAGGATTCCATAAACGAGCCAAAAGTCCCATCACTACAAACTACCAAACAATTCTAGCAGGAGTTATGTCATGTGTCTGTATTATCACTCAGACGGGCAGACAGACAGAGCAGTGCGTTAAACTAGGCTCAATTTTGCACTGTTTAGGTCTATTCTGCGGTTTCCTCCTCCCTTTCTCTTTCTTCCTACTGTCTCTTTCTCTCCGCTCCTCTCTCCTTTCACCCCCCCGAGTTTCCTCTCTGCCTCTCTTACCAACTCTCTCCGTCCAACTCTCTCTTCCCACTTTCTCTCCTCGTCTCCCTCCTCATTTCTCCCCCCTGATTCTCTCTCTTCCCCCTCTTCCCCTCTCTGTATCGCTGCCTAACCCTCTGTTAACCCCTCTCCCTTCTTCTGTCTCTCCTCCCCCTCTTTCCACCCCTCCTCCTTTCTTTTCTTCAGCCCGCTCTACCCACCTCTCCCTCGTTCTCTCCCCCGTGCTCACTCCCTTCACTCCCTCCCATCCTTGTGCTCTCTCTCCTTTACCCTGCTTCTCTCTCACCCCATCCTCCCTCTCCTCGTCTCTCTCTCCCCCTCCTCTCCGTATCTCTCCCTCTCATCCCCTCCTCTTCTCTCTCTACCCCTCTCAACCTCTCCTATTCTCTCTCTCTCTCTCCCTCCTCTTCCTATCTCCCCCTCTCACTCCCTCCTCTTCTCTTTCTCTCTCTCCACTCCTCTTACTATCTCCCCCTTTCACCATCTCCTCTTCTCTCTCTCCCCCTCTCATTATCTCCCCCTCTCAACTTCTCCTCTACTCTCCCTCTCCTCTTCCTATCTCCCCCTCTTACTCCCTCTTCTTCTCTCTCTCTCTCTCTTCCCATTCCTTTTCTCCCTCCCCCTCTCAACCTCTCCTCTCCTCTTCTGTCTCTCTCTCCCCTCTCCTCTTCCTATCTCCCCCCTCACCCCCTCCTCTTCTCTCTCTTTCTCTCATCCCCCTTTTCTCCCTCCCCCTCTCACCCCCTCCTCTTCTCTCTCTCTCTCCCCCTCCTCTCTTTATCTTCCCCCCTCACTCCCTCCGTCTCGCTCTCTCTCTCTCCCCCCCTTCTCTCTTTTATCTCCCCCTCTCATCCCCTCCTCTTCTCTCTCCCCCTCTCAACCTCTCCTCTCCTCTTCTGTCTCTCTCCCCCCTCTCCTCTTCCTATCTCCCCCCTCACCCCCTCCTCTTCTCTCTCTTTCTCTCATCCCCCCTTTTCTCCCTCCCCCTCTCATCCCCTCCTCTTCTCTCTCTCTTCCCCCTCCTTTTCTCTCTCCCTCTCTCAACCTCTCCTCTTTCTCTCTCTCTCTCTCCCCTCCTCCTCTGCCTGTCTCCCCCTCTCCTCCCTCTCTCTCCCCCCTTTCGCCCCTCCTTCTCTCCTCTTGACCCCCTCCTCTCTCCTTCTCTTTTAACCCCCCTCTCCCTCTCCTTACCCTTTCACCCCCTCCTCCTCTCCTCCTCTCCTCCCCCTCTCTCCCTCCCTCCCCTGCGCGCCGTGCCCGCTCCACAATGCTCCGCTTGTGCGCTACTGTCTGAGGCCGGCCGCAGAAATGCCTTGGCTCGGGCTCTGGCTCTGGGCTCGCTGCAGCTGGAGACGTCATAGATTCCTGAGTGTGGGGCTCCGCAGGAAAGCCCTGAGTCTCCAATATGGCGCTGGTCCAGGTTTCCATGGCGAAGGCGCGCAAACAGGAGGCAACACTGAGGGAATCCCGTTATTTTACAGCATTGGAGCATTATAAACACGGACCGGGGAAGGAAGCGATCCACACACCCGAGGATTCCTCTCCGAGCGCGGGCGAAGAGAGCTCTCACTTCAGCCTGCGCCTTTTCGGAACCAGACACATTTTTACGCACAAGAAATGTATGGCAATTTCTTCAACATTTAAACCCCAATTTATTTTCGACATTTTCAACCGAGTGCTGTCTGTACTAAAGGACACTAATTTGTTTTATTTCGATTTTTGTTTTTCGTTTTTTTCTCCAGATGTTCAGAGAGACTTGGAGACTGGCGCAGTACCACGCCATGAGGTCCATGGATCAAGGTACAGCTTCAGTGTTGTGTCTCTGGTAACTAACACATTTGATTTATTTATTCATTCACTTTTGGCTACTTTATGTCACTGTTATATTACGCGTACGTGTGTGCATGTGTTTGGATGAGATGCGCGTTTGGATATAGCCTACAAGTTAATGAATTTACTTAAAAATACAAATATCACTACAAATAGGCTTGATAAATGTCGTTCTACAGCTGTTGTATCTCGTTCACTTTAAAATCAGATAAAATACATAGGCTATACATTTGGAACATGTTTGTAAATTGTTCCGTAGCGATGTACAAATGTAATAAAATAGTTGTACTGGTGCCAATTTGTAATAACAGTTTAATAATACGTCTTAATTACGGTTTTAACATAATTTTGGCATTAACTTGTACACTTGAGATGTGTACTGACAACTATTTATAAAGTTTGAGATCGACAATGTGCTAGATAATGCTAAAGTCAAAGTGCGTAAAAATATCTGTTTACCAGTTTGACTTTTAAATAGGATAGGCTAATAGTGTGTGGAATAATCTGCTACATCTGTCAAAAACAACAGAAATGCTTGTTCTGTCTCCTGTCTTTACGCACGGCGCGCTGGTCACGTGTTCGTGTTGATTTTGGAATTGGGGAACCCCTCCGGGACTCCCACCTGTGGCTGTCAAAACACGGGCCACGCATAACTCAATAGCCAACTTTAAATAAGAAATATGAGCACAAATATGAGCAGATTTATTGAATGTTATTGGTAGAGCCGCGGTTTAAAAGACTATTTAATACACGGAAACCAGGAAATGCCACCACGCCCGAGTTCATTAGTTTTGGCGTGAGATTTGACACGACTCAGTCTCGGTGCTGCAGAGGTGGAAAATTACTCTCAAATATTGTTACCTCAAAATATTACTCAAGTTGGAGTAGTTTTATGGTACGATGATACTAATCCTATTTTGGGTAACTATAAAACTAAAACATGTTGAAGAAAGTTGAACAACATACAGCATGTCAATGTAAAAGGTTATAACTCATCATCAGTACCCATTTCTGACGCGCGGGGGCAGCACTTCACCAGCCTGCGCTTGTCTGCTTATATCCAAATGGGACACCTCAAAGAAGAATGTCACTCTTTTTCATTGATGCTACATGAATTAGGCTATAAAAAACGATAGATTTACATAAAAACAACACAGAATAATATACTAGAGTATTTTATTTAAAGAAATACATACTTTGGGGGAGTCCTATCTTTCCGGGTTATAATTAGCAACTATTTCTATTCCAATCTCTGTGCGCTACGATAGCGAAAAAAAAGAAAATTATGTGACGTTAAAGCATTTATTATCTATAAGCAAGTTTCTCAGCGCTACTTCCTGTATTTTTCTTTTCTACTTTTCACCACAAACCGCTAGCTGACTGATGTATTACTATGATAAACATTGACCACATGTAAGCTAGCTACTATCCTCAAACCAAGTTATAATTAGAAAAAAAAAGTGAAAGCCTGTTATATGCACTTTAAATCTACATAGACCGTCCCTCCATGTCCAATTACATTATTCAGCAGTGTGTTCCTCTTTTTTGTCAAATCTGAGGTGATCATCCAACGCATGCATCACTAGTTATTCCTCTATTACTGCTCCGTACCGCGCGTAATACGAGCGTAACGCACGCATCAGCCCTAAAAAGAGCGCTCTGAGTCTGTCATTTTGGACACGCCTTCACGTGACAGCTGAAACAGGAAACCCCCGCGGAGCACCGATGCATCTTCTGACAGGTTACTCCGAAAAATCCTAAAATAATAGTCACTTTTGTCGTGCGTAAAAGACATAAAAGTGAAATAAATGAGCGCGTTTTACCGTCCGAAAGAGTTGGAGGAGGATTTGAGCGGAGTGAACTGTCCCGGGGATGATTTTCAATTTGAGGACCTGTTTGAATATGAGGCACCTTGCAGCGAAACGGCGGAGAATCGTCAAGGTTTGTCCCCTAGACTTACAACATTGAAATAATCATGGTTTTAATCGTATTTTAATTATAACAGTAAAAAATTGGCCAGGGAGTCAATTTAGTCAACTTTAATACCATCCATGCCAGATTTTCAACATATTTTAGCAGTAAAATAAACGGGCTGAATTCAATTCGTCCTTTCTTATACTATGTAGGCTATTGTTGCTTTGAAATACTACTCTAATGAGATTTCTTGCAGTTAATCTTATTCTGTCTTCTTTTCTACGGTGAAAATGCAATAAATACATGAATAGGTGTTGCCTAAAGGAGCAGGTGCACTGGAGCGTCACAACTAATGCATAGACTGCTATTAGATAAGAGAACTATAACACAAACTGTTATAACACTATATTACACAAATATAACAAATAAGAAAAGCTTCTTTTAAAATGGCACAGAGTGAAAACTGTGTGGATGAGGGATGTGGATTAAATGTGGGACTGACACTGATTAAAGGTCCTAGATTATGCAATAGGACATTTTTGAGTAATGCTTTATTATTAGTCTGTCTACATCACCAAAGCTCAAAATGCTCTCTTCCATCTTCTTTAATGTCATGAAGTGGTGGTTTTTAAGTTAAATGTTAACCCTTTACCTTTAGTAAAAGAGAATTTACCTTTAGTAAAAGCCAATTTTCCTATAGTACCGCATTACATCACAAGGTGGGACAGAGTGTTTTTTGTTTGAGAGAGGAGCACAGCCTAAATAGTTTGTGTGTTAAACATGTGTGAAAGAAACAAAACACAACTTCAGGTGTGTACGATTCATGTAGCTACACTGTATTTTACTATCGCTTTTAAGAGGTAAACAATATCACCTGCTTCTTCTGAACGTCCGTACTTTGTTGTGATTGGTTCAGTGTAGTTGTCAATCACTCACAGCTTTTACAAAGTTTTAAAGCAGCAGATGTTGTAATGAAGGAAGATATAGTCACCAGATAGGGAGCAGGGGCTAGACTTTCCATTGATTACATAACACTTTACCATGAAATATCCAAAAAGTAAATTCACAAATGTTGAACCTGATGATTTCTATTAGTGACTAGACCCATTAATGCAATACTCCATTTAGCTCGCTCCCATCTGTATTAAATAATATTGGCCTAGAGAATGTTGTTGGTGTTATCTGAAACCTAATAGCAGAAGTGTGAGGGAGTGTCTGTGTTTGAGTACATAGCTGCAGTAAATAGAGAAACAGTGACTCATGATTTGACTAAAAATCACTAAAATTACAGATTATCTCATGGCTCAGATCACTATTCTATTTTTGTCACCATATCGCCCAGCCCTATAAATGTTATTGACAATAGTGTGGGTGTAGGCAGACTCTAGGCTTGTGTAATGGTACCTAACATTGTCATTGTTATATCATGTTACATGATTGATGCCTATTCAGTATTTAATAACAGTAATTCTTCATGTTGGCGGCACTAGAATGGAGCAAAGGATCATGGTCTTTGTAGTTTCCTATTTTTCACTATACTGCTGTGACAAAACAATCAGTCAGTGTTTAAATTAGAACTGAAAAAGCTGGATCGGTGCCTAGTTGTAAGATTACAAAACATAACGTAACATTTCAAACTCAGGAACATTCTTTGTACCTGATTCTGATTTCAATACTGCAATAGTGATTTTAAACACTTATTTTAAACGATAGAAAGGCAAGGTTCAGTTGTGTCCTATTTAGTTTCCAGTATTTGTAATTTATTCTAAAGAGTATGTAGCTTCAATAGTAGTTTTAGTGTTTCATAGCATCCTAATTATTAACCACAATGAGTTTACAAGGGCTTTTTGCAGCTTTCAGAGGCTAGAAAGAAGTTTGGAAGTTACGTCACAACAACAACTACAGTGTACCAGCGTTGATTCATGATTTGCGGATGATAAAAACACTTAGATGAAGATAGAAAACAGCATTCTTACTTTATTTACATGAAAAAATGTGGTTCAGAATGTTAGAATTATCATTACATCTTAATTTAAATATCTTTTCAAAACATTTATTTAGTTTTGTATTGTAATCTTCCAATTTTCCATGTTTTCCAGATGACCCAAACCTCATCTCTCACAAAGTGCTCAGTCCAGACTCAGAGCACTCCTTTCCCCTGGAGGATCCATCTCCGTTTCACCTCAAATCGTGCAGTCCGTCCTACAGCGACCCAAACCACAGTGAAGCCTTACCCGCTTACGAGCACCCAGACACCAGAGGGGGGTACCTGGCCCTCAGCCCCCGCATCGAGATCACTCCATCCAGGTAGAAACATCACGATAACAAACTTTAGTGTTATGATTATTGTGACAAAAAATACCACGACTTTTGACAGAGAGAAAGAGTGAAATCCTTAAAGAGGGGGTGTTATACAAAATCAACTTTTTGGAGCTTTCTACCATGTTATAATATTGTTCCCTCATGAAAAACTGTGTCATTCATACATGTTTAAACATTTTAGTGATCTAGCATGCATCTTTTAGCAGTTTTGCATGCACGTTTGAGTAATATATCAATCTCTTCCGGGCCTATTCTAACCCTCCATGCGGTTAGCAGTAAGATTCTGTGCAATTCTCAGCCAACAAGCCTACGGCACCCACGCTCCCACGCAACAATTCTCTATAAATATACAAAAACATGATACAAAACTGTACACAGCAACTTGACAAACCTGATGCAATGTGCGGTTTCATTAGCGGGACGAGTGCTGATTGTGTTGTGATTGCGCTCTGAAGGGGGGGGTGACTCAGAGTGTTAAAAACATAACTGAAACTTAAATAAAACATGTTAATACGTTGTTTCTGGCGAATATAGCATTTTCCAAAACAATAAAAAGGTAACACGGTGATCTAAATATGATATGTGTTAGCTATTAATATCCCCTCTTTAAAGGTCTTGTACTACGCAAAATAGACTCATGTGAGCTTACAGATGTTATAATGTTGTTACCTCTTCAAAAACATACCTGGAGTTGTGTTTTGTTTCAGTCACATGTTTGAGTAATCCTGAATTATTAGTCTGTCTACATTAGCCAGGCTGGCACCACCTAGTGCCTCCACTCAATTTCATTTCTCTTCAGCGACTAGATCAGGAATCAAAATACACTAGACTGTTCGCAAAAACCCCAGACGTGCAAGTTCGGGCGCCAGCCAATCAGCAAAGAGTCATATATTCAGTGCTGTCAACAATTCCCAAAATGAAGGATTTAAAGCGAGAATAAAGAGAATGTTTGGTGAATTTCGTCAAGGGGAAAGACGTTATTGCCCTTCTTCCTACGGGATTTGGGAAAAGCTTATATACTACCAGTTAGCCCTGTTAGCATTACATACATCATAACCAACTAGCAGTGACTGGTTAAATGATAAAAAGTACCCTCCTCAGAGTGAAAAAATGCATAGCACACTCGGTTGGCCGATGTCCAAATACTATTTTATTAACAAAATAACGTTTCGGCAAAAAAAGCCTTCATCAGATATTTTTCTTGTCTTGGACCACAGCACACAAAATGGTTGCCAGCCCAGGTGCCCATATACCCACTCAATGAATGGGAGGTCCCAAAGTGAGGTCACCCAGTGAGTTCAGCCCATTCTACAACAAGAAACAACAATTTACATAAAAAACATTTTAGAAAATACAGAAATAGTTTGTCTATTACAAAAAACATCTTAGATCAAACTCGATATTAAGTCCATGAGGAGTAAAAGTTTTAAGATGGTGAATCCAGAAGTGCTCTCTTTTTGACAGGAGCATCTCTAGATTACCACCTCTAGGGGCAGTTCCACATGTTCGATGCCAATATATCTTAAGGAAGAGATAGGATGGTTAAAATCAACAAAATGAGCCGCCACAGGATAGTTCATGTTTTTGCATCTGATTGTACTCCTATGCTCTGCAATCCGTGTTTTTAAAGCCCTGCTGGTTTTACCCACCTCTGCAGAAATCTTGGTGTGCGTTTTCTGTTTTCTTTTTAAAAAGTACCCTCCTACCATCGAGCGAACGAAATCTAAGGCTGCGACGGTTTCCACAAAGTGAAACGACGTAAAACTGGCTGATGAATCAGGATATGTCTACATCTCCAAAGCTTAAAACGCTCTGTTCCACCTTGTGATCTCATGAAGTGATAGTTTTCAAGGTAGCAGCAATATTTTACCTATTTTAGTTCATTTTAGTTCAGTAATTCCAGGGCTGAAAACATCCACATGATTCTAGTGAAGGTGTATGGAGTCTAAAAACACAGTGGAGCACTTCCTGTATTACCACATGATATCACAAGGTGGAACAGAGTAATTTCTGTTTGAGAGAAGAACCTTGTTTGTTAGTTAAACGTGTGTGAATGTAACAAAACACAACTCCAGGTATGTTTATGATGAGGAAAATTGTGTAACATGGGCCATTTAATTATGTTTTATCAAATGTGGTAGTTTAAACTGTCATATTCACCTTAATAATCTTGATTTCTCTGTCCAGGGAACACTTTCAACATGACCCCCTTCACAACCATCACCAAAACCTCAGCCCGCGCCCCACTCTCACTGTCCCTGGACATGAGAACCTAGTTTACCGAGAACCACAGTGCCTAAGTCCAGCCAGCAGCAACTCCTCCACATCCTGGCATTCAGAGAGCTACTCACCGTGGGCATCTCCGTGCGTCTCTCCCAGTAACAGCGCACAGAACGCGGGTGACCTGTGCCCGCGCTTCCAGAACATCCACACTGGGTCTCCGCGCACCTCCCCGGGCACGTCCCCTCGCACCAGCCTGACGGAGGAGGGCTGTGTGGGGCCACGCTCACCTTCGCCCAGGGCAGGGTCACGATCAACGTCTCCACAAGGGAAACGAACCTACGATATGTACCGCAATCCAGGTGTGTATCGTGTGTGTATCGTAACATTCCCTGTTGGTGTGAAGCTAGCTGAAGCACTGCTCTGTCTGAAGCTCTGTTACTCAAGTTAGACTTTAATCTAAGCTTTGTTTTAACACAGTCTGACCAGCAAGAACTGATTTAGAAATGGAAATACAACAGGAAATATAACAGTTGAGCTGATTTGTGCTGTGACAAGTCCCTGTGGAGTAACATTATTAGATTAGAAATACTTTATTATCTCACCAAAAATGTGTCAGATTTGTGAGTAAAAATGGAAAATGGACTAGTAATGAAGCTGAAGAGGCTGTATATGTGTCAAGTAGTTATATATTCAGTAATATTCATATCTCAAGAACAAAACTTTTATATATATTTTTTCTATTTTGTTCCTTTCTAAATGCACACTGCAGTCAAATGAATTAAACATGTTTCTACTCCATTAATACCCCTACAGCTTTGCTCCCTGGTCACCGCTCGAGAAGCCCCTCCCCTCACGGTCGTCATGACGACCAGAGCGTTGGTGCGCACTACCCCGGGCTCGGTGACTCCATGAACGGGTATGGCACGGGTCAGCCTGGCCTGATGCCCACCAAGATCGTCAAACCAACAATCAGCTCTACACAGTGTACCCCGAACACAACGGAGAGGCCAACTACCTGGTGTCATGTCAGGAGGAGCTTAAGACAAAGCCCACTACGGAATCTTTCTTTGTCATACCACAGATTTGGTCCAAACCGCTGGTGCCTAGCCTATGCAGGTAAATAAGGACACTGCACTGCAACATTTTATAGTTTTACAATGCAATTTCAGTGTATAGTTTCTATTATTTATGACTTGACTTGTAGCTACTTGTTATTTATGTATCACTGTAAAAAAGAACATCTACTTCTTATTCTGAATTTACATAGTTTAGATGCATTTAGTCTAGACTTTTTGGTCTGATTCATTATTTGCACTTATTTTTTTGTTCCCGAGTTCAAGAAAAATCTGTCTGTGGATTATGAAAATTACACTGCTGCATGTAGGGATGATAAGTATTTGCAAAAAAATAAAAATAAAAAATCACAATCACATATCAAAATTTTTTTAGAACTGAAATCACAATTTTGATTTTTATCACAATTCATACAGTTAGTATCGTCTGAGAGTTCACGCTTCTCTGTGATTGGTTAAATCCACCTGTCACTTATTCAAAGACTGACCAATAGGCAAAGTGGGTGGGGGAAAGTATCTGTGTTTGAAATTATTGGTGGCATTACACAGAAAAGCACTCAATCCCACATACAATTTTTTTTTCTTCTTTTTTTACATCACCATATCACCTTGCCCCCACTTGTTTTCTTATTTTGTAGAAATCAGTCAGAAAAATCGAAGCTGACGTCCTAACAAAAATAGTAAATTAACATCCTGAGTTCAAGATATTTTAGTTCATTTCTTTCATCCATTTTTTTCTGTATAGTGGTGTTTATGTTGTGAAATGTTTTCCAGTATCCCGGTCTCTTCCCTCCCTCCTCTGGAATGGCCCCTCCCCTCCCGCACAGACCAGTACGAGCTCCACATCGAGGTGCAGCCGCGGCCTCATCACCGAGCGCACTACGAGACCGAGGGGAGCAGGGGCGCGGTCAAGGCCCCAACGGGAGGTCATCCGGTCGTACAGGTCAGTCCGGGTGCAGCTACTGTCTCTCGCTATGTTACCGTGGTTACGTGTACGTCAGGAAGCTAATCACGGCGTCTCCAACAAGCTCATATTGTTTTGTTTTGCTCTTCTACGTTAAAGTGAAACTAATAGAGCTACAGCATGTTTATTTGTCCTGTTGACAGCAAATATAATTCCTAGCATGTGTGAAAAATCAAATATTCAACGAAAATGAGATGCCGCTTATGTATGTCTGCAAAATATTAGTGCTTCAAAATTGATTCTAAATTACTATGTACCTGAACGTGCCCTGTCCACAAGCCTACGTCACTGATGACACAAAAACATGACACAAAATTGTACAAAGCAACTTGGTAAATCTGACAAATCATACAGTAGTTTGTGTTGTGATAGCGCTCTGAAGGGGGAGTGACTAAGTATGGGGAGCAAACATGTTGATACATTGTTTTTAGCGAATATAGCATTTTCAAAACAATAAAAAGTAACACTGAGATCTAAATAAGTTATGTTTTAGCAGTTAATAAGCCGCAGAATTCAGTTTTGTTTCATGTGAATAGGCCCAATAATTACAGACATATTACCGTACTTTCCAGACTATAAGTTGCTCCGGAGTATGAGTCGCACCAGCCCAAAAAATGGGCAATGAAGAAGAAAAAAACATATATAAGTCGCACCAGACTATAAGTCGCACTGTTTGGGGAAATGTATTTTGTAAAATCAGAGACCAGGAAGCGACATTTCATCTGGAAAGGCAAGTAATAACAATAGAACAGAGAACAACAGACTGAACAGACCTTAATATGTTAATGTAACATATTAACAGTTATTCAGATAACTATAGCATAAATAACATAACATAAGTTTACCAAATTAACGATCTCACTCCAAATCACTAAATCCATTGAATTCTTCATCCTCGGTGTCACTTCTGAGCAACCTCAGGAGATAAACCATAGAGATAGACGAGATAAACAGAGCTCCGCTTCCTCTTCTCTGTAGTTGTCGTCAGACTCAGCATCAGTTCCATATAGACTTATTCCGGCCTTTCTGAACCCTGAAAGGATGGTTTCGGTTGTCATTGAAGTTCAGGCTTTGTCGATTCATCCAGTGACTTCAAAGAAAGTTGCATTGCACACTTGCCCAGTTGCCGTGAAGCTGTGTTGTCCATTCCTGCTTTCTGCTAGTCCCTCACAAGTTTCTCGCTCACTCCAAACTTTCTTTCTGCTGCTTGATTACCATTTTCAGCTGCATATTTCACTATTTACAGCGAGACAGCGGCTATTTGTGCAGGAGACATGTGCAGTAGAGAGGGAAGTGACAGTGGTACAGGAGTAAAAGTAGTATTAGATACTGACACACGAGCCTAGAGCGCCCTCTCGCGGCTGTCAGTCTGAAAATTTTGATATGTAAGTCGCACCAGAGTATAAGTCGCAGGACCACCCAAACCATGAAAAAAAGTGCGACTTATAGTCTGAAAAATACGGTAACCCTAAACTAGGTAAAAAAATCTGCAATCAGACAGTTACGCAGCAAATTCCACTTGAGAGTTCTGACCTTTATCCAGCTCCATTTTAAACCATAGGCTCTAAAAACTGCAGTTTCACTTAGACTCTATAATATACAGTATTTTGTCTTATTTATTCATTCTCAAATTTGAGCTTTGTCAACATTTCTTACTGCCCTTTTTACTTCTCTTATATTGAAATGCAATAAAACATCAGCCCTGTCTTCCATATTGATGCCTACCTGATCCGTAGCTCAATTAATTACATGAATAGATGAAAATAGAGTTATTCAAAGGCAGGACATGCACGGCTCTGTCTGAATGAAGTGCTACATACTGAGTCAAGGTTTGGGAAGAGATTTGCATAAGGTCATATTTCCATACACAATAGCATCATTATATCAGGGGCCCGTGCCATGAAAATGAGCACACATGATCTAGCTAGACGAAACAGCAGATTTAACCCTTTACACATGCAATCTCTATATTAAGTATTTCTGGATGTCAGATTTCCATAGTGCAGCAATGTGTTTTTACTTCTATTTTAAAACATGAAATACAGATTGCAGTGGTCCAAAGTTATTCCTCACTTAACCTTATACATTCAGAGTGTTCCTAATTATTCACTTCAGTGCGTTTATAAGGGCTTTTCACAACTTCCAGAGGTCAAAGGAGAGTTTTTTATTGTAGTAATTTTAACAATATCATGCTAACCACACATCTCCTGATTCTTGGATTAGAAAGCGCTTTTTAATTAACTTATTTGCACAAATACATGGAAACACGTTAGGTTCAGGTTCTATAATATTACTTTGGACACTTTTTTACACCGCATTTTTTGTTTAGTAGGTTTATTTTTGTTATCAAATATCCTTGCAGTTTTTTAACAGATTATACACTCAATATTCCAATTTTACATATCTTAAAAATAAAAATCTTGTATCATAACAATACTATATGGGTTGAGGTAGAAGTAATCAAAAACAAAATATACAAATTGGGAATTTTTTTATAAACCACTGGACCCTAAAACCAAATCTTATGCAAAATAAAATAATAATTCCACCTCATTTTGACGCAGTAGAGTAAATAGTGTAGTTTAAAATAATTTCACCTTAGTTAATTTATACTGACAGAGAAAACGCTGAACTTTGTGTCAGTTTTCGTGGCTAGGCCTAGTAATTACAGATATATGAACCACAAAGCAGGTCAACATTCGCATTTTATCATAGAAATCTTAAATCAATCTTAAACTATATGTCCTTTTGAATATTATGTTTTAACACAGCCTGTATGTTAACAGCATTTTCACATATTCGCATAGGCATTTTTTCGTGTCTGATATTGTAGTCGTTGTGTGTACTTTGGTTTGCCTCAGCGAGTTTAACCACATAAAACTATCAGGTGCACTTCCTCTTTTCTACTGTAATCTGTCATTTTAGGAAGTTACTGAGACAAGCATTTAAAAGAAATTCTCTCCCTGTGGTTAGACCTGGTTCAGTCCTGGTGCATTCCTGGTTTAGTCTGAATTTAGACCTAGTTTTGACATGTTAACGATGTTATTTGAGTTAACATATTGTTTGTTGTGGTCCAGTCCATTTTTAGTCCTGATTCAGCTCTTCTTTAGTCCTGGATTCGTTTTTTTAAGTCCTAGTTTGGTTCTTATTGAGTCAAAATCCTGGTTTAGTCCTAGTTTTGACATTTTAATGATGTAGTTTATTTGGTTTACGTATTTAGTCCTGGTTTAGTCTGACGTTTGTCTAAGTTTTTCATTTTTCACGGTATGGTTTGAGATAAGATCTAGTTCCGTCCTTCTCTAGTTTGTTTTTAGTCCTAGTTCATTTCGTCTTTAGTCCTGGTTTAGTGCTTCTTTAGATGTGGTTTAGTTCATGTTCTGGTTCAGTTACTGGTTTAGTCTGTTTTAGTCCTGGTTGAGTCCTGGTTTAGTTCTTCTTTATTTGGATTAGTTAGTCCTAGTTTAGTCCTGGTTTAGTCCTGATTTAGTCCTGGATTTGTCATGTTAATGATGTAATTTGAGCTACATCATTGTTACATGTTTTGCAGTATCCATTGTTTAGTCCTGGTTTAGTCTGGCTTTTGTCCTAGTTTTTCCTTTTTCACAGAATACTTTGAGTTAAGATCTAGTTTCGGCCTGGTCGAGTGTATTTTTCGTCTTAGATCAGCTCTTCTTTGGTCCTGGTTTAGTCCTTTTTTTAGTTGGGTTAGTTAGTCCTGGTAGTCCTTATTTAGTCCTTCTTATTTTCGGCTAGTGAGTATTGCTTTAGTCCTGATTTAGTCTTGGTTTAGTCCTGATTTAGTGATAGTTTAGTCCTTCTTTAGTTGGGTTAGTTCTGGTTTAGTCCTTCTTTAGTTGGGTTAGTTCTGGTTTAGTCTTTCTTTAGTTGGGTTAGTTCTGGTTTAGTCTTTCTTTAGTTGGGTTAGTTCTGGTTTAGTCTTTCTTTAGTTGAGTTAGTTCTGGTTTAGTCTTTCTTTAGTTGAGTTAGTTCTGGTTTAGTCCTTCTTTAGTTGGGTTAGTCTTGATTTAGTTCTTCTTTAGTTGGGTTTGTCCTGGTATAGTCTTTCTTTAGTTCTGTTAGTTCTGGTTTAGTCCTTCTTTAGTTAAGTTAGTCCTGATTTAGTCCTTCTTTACTGGGGTTAGTCCTGGTTTAGTCCTTCTTTAGTTGGATTAGTCCAGGTTATTCCTTCTTTAGTCGGGTTAGTTCTGGTTTAGTCCTTCTTTAATCTGGTTAGTTCTGGTTTAGTCCTTCTTTAATCTGGTTAGTTCTGGTTTAGTCCGTCTTTTGACCATAAACACAGATCCAGTCTTGTTCCTCTTTCTGAATGTGGACTTTCATTTTAGGAAGCGCACTGAGTCTTTAATGTGTCTGTCAATGTGGCTATTTAAAGCCATTAATGAACCCAGCTCTGACTCACCAGGCCCAAAATAAGTCACTTGTGTTACTGTGGAAATACTGTAAACACACCAAAAAAGAAACAAGAGTATTGCACTGCATTACATTTTGGATGAGTAAGTAAGTAGTAGTCATTTTAAAAGCTGACAACTTGATGATGAACAAAATCCATAGACAGACAGAGTTAGTAATGAACTTGTGGTTGTGCATTTCAGCAATGTAGGTAGTAGCAGTAGTAGTAGTAGTAGTAGTCGTTGTAGCAGCAGCAGCCATAGTAGTTGTAGTAGTTGTCAAGTTGAAATGATTTAAGCAGGGGTGTCAAACTCATTTTGGTCTGGGGGCCATATCCAACCTACTTTGATCATAAAGGGGCCGGATCAGAAAACTCATGTCACATATATTACTGAAAAATAACAATAAGTTCAAATATTTGTGCAGAGAAACACAAATCTATTACAGAAATCTTTTTTAATTGATGAACTCTTTCTTTTACAAAATATTATAATATTATGAACAACCTGAAACTTTAAGAAAAATACAATTTCAACACAATGTTTCAACATGAACTTGTCTGCAAATAGGAATAAGTCCATTTTTCTTGGGAAGTCCTGCACTCTGCATCAATTTTTCAAATTTTTTAACATTTTACTGATAAGGGTGTCACGGGCAACAGTCAAAACGATCGTCCTTTAAGAATGTTTGGAAAAAGCCAAGTCTTCATTTGTGCTGCTCTGGTGGGAGGGGCCAAGCACAGAGACGCTGGAGACGCTGCTATGCTCAGCACTGCAGAAAATTACCAATATTTAATAGAAAATAAAATTAAAATATTTTAGTAGAAAATCAGCCGAGGGCCAGATTAATGGTCTTGGAGGGCCGGATCTGGCCTCCGGGCCGTATGTTTGACACCCCTGATTTAAAGCCTAACAGTTTATTTTGGGATATATTTTAAATATAAATAAGTATATTTATTTTATCTTTTTAATATAGAGATTATAGAACAGCTGGATATATAGTTTATTTTGGATACATTGATGTTTTTCTATGCCTTATTTCATGTTCAAACTATATTTTATTCATTTTATGTTTTAGTTAGTAGCCTATATTTAATTTCAGTTTGAAAGTTTTGTGTTTTGGGGAGAAATACTGAATAAATGCACTGTGTAACTAAAAAATAAAACTGAATAGAAGTGATTTCAATATTGACCAAAATAATTGCGAAAAGTTATTTTTTTCCCATAATTGAGCAGCCCTATATTTGAATGTGATTTTTTTTTATCAACACTTCAAATGAGTATCTAGTTTCAGTACTAATTAGTATTGATTAATATCTGATCTTTGATACTTTTGAAAACCCTAAGTAGTAGTAGTAGCAGTTTAGTCCTGATCCAGTCCATTTTTAGTCCTGATTCAGTTCTTCTTTAGTCCTGGTTTAGTCTTTCTTGAGTCTTAGTTTGGTTCTTATTGAGTCCAAATCCTGGTTTAGTTAGTTTAGTTTTGACATGTTGATGTAGTTTATTTGGTTAACATTTTGATACTTTTGAAAACCCTAAGCAGTAGTAGTAGCAGTTGTAGCAGTAGTAGAAGCATTAGCAGTAGTAGCAGTAGTAGCAGAGGTAGGTGTAGTAGTAGTGAATGACTCGGGCATGTTAAATTGGCTCTCTGACTTCAGTCCAAAAATATGTAGCTCTATTGTGTTACTGTAGTAATCATGTGAGTAATAATAATAGTAGTGTTATTGTAAGCAGGTATAGCCTGTACAGTTGAACTGGTACTGTGGAACCCTATGAACCCATGACCTGGTTTAAGTCTGGATTTAGTCCTGGTTTTGTCAAGACATCCTAGTTCAGTCCTAGTTAAGTTCTTATTTTGATTAGTTCTCATCTACTCCTTCCTAGTTCTGGTTTAGTGCTTGTTTAGTTCTTCTTTTTTGCTGGTCTAGTCTTGATTTAATTCTTAAGAGCTTCTTAAGCCCTTTAGTCTTTGTTTAGTCTTGGTTATTCCTTGTTTAGTCCTGGTTTAATCCTGACTGAGTACTGGTTGAGTCATGGGTTAGACCTGCTTAAGTCCTTCTCATAGATGCACATAACTAACACTTAAACTCGTCTATAGTCCTTCTTTAGTTCAGGTCTAGTCCTAGTTTAGTCTTGCTTTAGTCTTGTTTTAGTCCTTTTTTGTCCTGGTTTAATGCTTGTTAAATTCTGGCTCAATCTGGGTCTAGGTTCCTCTTAAATCCTCCTTTAGGCTTTGTTTAATCCTGGTCAAGTTCTGGTTTAGGTTAGATTTTAGGTCCTTGTTTAGTCCTGTTTTAGTTCTGCTTTAGTCCATCTTTAGTCTTTCTTTAGTCCTGGTCCTGTCCCAGTTTAGTTCAGGTCTAGTTGGTCTAGTCCTGATCTAGTCCTGGTTTAGTCCTGGTCCAGTCCTGCTTTAGTCCTTTCATTTACAGTCTTCATATTCGTCCATACTTTCCCCTCTCTCTCTCCTCTGACTCACCTTTGCGGCCGCTGCCATGACGACAGGCCTGGTCAGTCTGTTTGCTTCCTGTGTTTCGTCCAATCACGGCTCAGCTCTGCGGTTGCCATAGTTTGTGCTTACTCTGAGCTCAGTGAACTGCAGGCTCTGTTTTTACTCCCTGACCATTAAAACAAGCGCAGATGTCCAAGAGGGCTACTGGTCCTTGGTCTAAAAAATATAAAGCTCCTGTATTAAAGGGCCTATATTACACAAAATTGACTCTTTTGAGTTTTAATCCATGTTAGAATGTTGTTATCTTATCAAAAACATAGCTGGAGTTGTGTTTTGTTTCATTCACACATATTTGAGTAACTTTATTATTAGTCTGTGAACATCACCAAAGCTTAAAATGCTCTATTTCCCCTTGTGATGTCATGAAGTTAAGTTTTACCTTTTATTCTGTAGAGATTGGCAAATCCAGGGTTGAAATCATTCAAATTATTCTAGTGAAGGTGTATGGAGTTTAAAAACACTTTCAAACCAAACTCTTCCTATAACACTTCCTGTATTACTACATGACATCACAATGTGGAACTGAATGTTTTCCGTTTGAGAGAAGAACTCAGTGTAAATTTACAGGGTTTGTGTGTTAAACATGAATGAAACAAAACACAACTCCAGGTCTGTTTGTGATGAAGAACTAATAATCATTTTGAATTTTGTTAATTTTTGTTTGTTTGTTGAATTTTTGTTTGTTTAAAGGTGCAATATAGAACTTTTCTGGTGTGAGTCCACCACCTGTTGCTTACCTCCAATGAGATATTATTTTCTTGTAATGCTCCACTGTATAGCATTATACCAGGCAAAGAAATAACATCTCCATGCAGGTGGTGGACATTCAAACAGAAAAGTTACACAGTGCTTTTTTAAATGAATACTCACTCTCTTTGGTAGCACAAAGTCATTATCTGCAATGTGCTGCAGGTTGTTTCTGTTTTGTGGTTTTTGCAGGTTTCCTCAGATGGAAACTTAAGCCTCAGCTTCACCTGCATCAGACTTATTTTAAGAAACACACAGTACACAGAAACACATGCACTTCCTACAAACAAACAAGGGCCACAAGCTTAACTGTTTGTTCTCTTTACCACGAACAACTTAAACCACAGAGCCACTGCCAGCTACTCACCCAGGTACTGTGCAGCTCATGTCAATGAAACACGTTCAGTCATTGAAAACCATTATTTTTTAGACAATTAAAAATAATTATCCAGCCAGAATAATAGTAATGTCTTAAAGGTCCCACCTGCTTGGTACAGTAGAAATATGCAGTATAGCATTAAACGTATTTCCCTTGTGTTTATTCAGTTACAGTTTTTTTTTATCACATGCTTAACACATAACACATGCTTTCTGGGCTCGCCTCTCCGTAGATTTGAACAGTAATTTGATCTCGTGGCATCACCTGCTTGCCCTCATGCATAGAGGTATTGTAATCGTAATACCATACTCTGGAACATTTCAGTCAGTGCCATTTCATCTCCATGGAGGGTCACAGTTGAAACCCTCCGCCAAAAATGTTACATAGAGAACTTTTAAAGATGCACTGTGTAACTTTTTGGTTGGGGGTCCATCACCTGCTTGTTTCTAGGGATATGTCATTGATCTGCCTGGAATGTTCCACAGTATGACATTAAACAGTTACCTTACATTTATTCAGTTACAGGTGGTTTTATAGCTCATAAATACATAGAACAGCAGGCATTCTGACTGTGAGCAAGGTCACCTCTCCACAGATCTGACCTATAACTTAGTCTGGTTTGGGTTCCTTGAATATAGAAAGATTTAATAGCATACTGTGAAACATGACAGACAAAGCAATAACATTCACTAGAAAAGTTACACAATGCACCTTTAAATGGCTTAATAGTTCTAACCATTCTAAAACTATACAAGAAACGTCAGAATTTGCCATATTTTGTGTGTTTTTTGTTTTTTTTCCCCAGTATCGACACATGTTTCATCTAGTTTCAAAAGTTCTGTTATCAATTTGTTATTTTTATTTATTTATTTTTTATTTTTTTTACTACTCTGTAAGACCACATTTGAGTGTTTTTCATGTGAGCTGTCTCTGTGTGTTACAGTTACACGGTTACAGAGGCAAAGAACCCCTGGGGCTGCAGATCTTCATTGGGACGGCAGATGAGAGGATCCTCAAACCTCACGCCTTTTACCAGGTCCATCGCATCACGGGAAAAACTGTGACCACCAGCAGCTACGAGAAGGTCCTCCACGGAACCAAGGTCCTGGAGATCCCCCTGGAGCCCAAGAACAACATGAAGGCAATGTAAGATATCTGCTACACGGGGAAAATATACTGTGGTTATGGAGAAGCAGGCCGTCAGCAGAGATTTGGGGGCCCAGGGCAAGACGACTCACACGGGCCCCCCTCTAATATTAATGAATAGACAGAGAACAACAGACCTTTTTGTCCCCTCCCTGTTGACTACCCTGATGGGAAGTTATTAGCTAATACAAAGTCCACATCATAAATAAGGATACAGTTGGTAACATGGTTGGCACAGTTTGGATTGTAGAGATTGTTTCTTTAAAAAATGTAAAACACAATTCAGTCTCAACTTTTTTATCTTGCTTTCTTAACTCTTACCCAGATGTGCACTCTTCTACACATTATCTCACTGAAAACTATCGGGAACAGGCTCAGTGTCATGAGGAATATTTGAATTTGATTGGTTGAAGCGTCACAACAGCAGAAGAGGCTGAGAAATCCAGTTTTTTGTTACATCCAGTTCAGAGAAAAGGACAAACAAAAGGACTTCCTCTGCACGTTTTTCTAAAGTGTCAGTTTTCCTCTGAAATAGGCCAAAGTACGCCTTCTGCTCATCTTTGTTTTGGGATTATTTGGGCGCTTCACCTTTAGCTCCGCCCAAACCGCAATGCTGTTTGGTGATTGGTTAAATTTTAAACAGATGGATTCTCTTGAGTTTGTGAACTTGCAAATATTGCAAGAATTCATCTTGCAATTAACTCCAGAATGGAAAATAAATGCTTTGAAACTTGTATAATTCAAAAGTTCAGCTGTGCAATTATCCTTATTCAGTTTGTAATTGATTTCATTTCAACTTCAAAACTTTTTTCAAACTTTTTTTTTAACTTTATTTATCTCAAAGGAAATTCATGTTTTGGCAGCAACAATGACACATAATAATAATGCAGCAATAATTCATCATTTATAAAGACGTCAACATCATTTATAAAGATGTCAACATCATTTATCAAGATGCGTTACTTCAGTGCTCCACATCTGTATGCAGTCAAACATGTATATTGATTCTGTTGGTTTGCTTGTTGCAGAATTGACTGTGCGGGGATCCTGAAGCTGAGGAACGCAGACATCGAGCTGCGTAAAGGAGAGACAGACGTGGGCCGAAAGAACACTCGGGTCAGGCTGGTGTTCAGAGTGCACATCCCACAGCCTAGTGGCAGCATGGTGTCACTGCAGGCAGCATCACACCCCATCGAGTGCTGTAAGAACCACACACAAAACACACACCAGGACTGAACCAGGACTGAACCAGGACTAAATGATGACTAAATGTTCGAAGTTTACATCACAGTTTCCATTGGGGGGGTCACAGCTTCTCAGTTTTCACCTACCCCCTATCTCCGCCCACTTGCATATATATATATTATATATATATATATATATATATATATATATATATATATATATATATTTTATTTTTTTTTAGTAATTCTTTGGGTTATATTTTTTATCACATTTTTCAACAATAAAAACACCTAAATGAAAATGCATTGCTTATTACGTTGGAATTTCGACTCTTATTTTATAGTCTAATACTAAATACACAAAATATGTCTTCTTTAAATATATCTATCTTGCATTTACTTTATTATTACGTGTTTTTAGCTGTTGAAAAATACCTTTAAAACATACTTTTTTACTGTGAGCGTAGTCACCTCTCCACAGACCTGATTTGTAACTTGGCCTGTTGGCATTACGCATCTCTTCATAGAATTAGATGTTTAAAGCTGCTACTGTGCATTTTATGGAACATGGAATTTTTTTTTATTGAATTTGTTGGCAAACCAATGACATCTCCATGGAGACGAGCACATGGCAGACCCTCACCCAAAAGGTTTCACAGTGCATCTTTCACTTCATGCTTAGACCACCTTTTCTGAGCAAACTGTAACTGTAATCCAGCCCTAAATTGAATTATTCAGGTTAGTTGATTTGACTGACAGAATTCTGAATCAGTTTTGCCATCCAGACTTGACAGTTTAAACCAGGCCAGTAACTCCTCTAATGTTTGTGTTCAGTCCACTATGGCCAAGCTGCTTCTACTTTCCCAAACCTGATACTGCATAGGCCTCATTAAAATCAGAATTATGCAAACGAGCTGCTCCCTGTACAAAGACCCCTCTATGTTTAAACTGCAGCCTCTGTTTGAGAACATGGACACAGATGTTCTCCGTGTTATTACAGTCAGATCTGTAATCACTACTCAAACAAGAGGAGGGTTAACTACAATATAGCAGCAGTTTATGCAAATAGGAGTGAAGAAGGGCCATAAAAAAGGTTTGTTGTTTTGAAATTTAAATCATTTTCTGAAATAAATGTAAAATTATGCCCCTGGTGATAACGATAATTGAAAACACAACATGTTTTTAAATGTTACCTCATCAAAAAAAACATGGAACCTGGAACCGAGAGTAACATATGTTTCATCTTTTATTATTAGTCAGTCTACATCTCTAAAATTCAAGATCCTCTGTTCTACCTTGTGATGTCATGAAGTAGCAGTTTTGACAGTTTTGATTCTAGAAAAGGTGTGTGGATTTAAAAAAACACAATGGAGCACATCCTGTATTACCACATGACATCACAAGGTGGAACAGAGTTTTCTGTTTGAGAGAGAACATAAATCAGAAAACAGCATTATATGGACCTTTTAAAATAATAATTTAGATTTTTTTAAAATGAGTCCTGGTTCAGGCCTGGTTTAGTCCTGTTTTAGTCTCTGGTTTAGTCCTGGTTTAGTCCTTGTTTAGTTCTGTTTTAGTCTCTGCTTTAGCCCTGATTTATACCTGGTTTAGTTCTGTTTTAGTCTCTGGTTTAGTCCTGGTTGGGTCCTGGTTTAGACCTGGTTTAGTCCTGGTTTAGTCTCTGGTTTAGTCCTGGTTTAGCCCTGGTTTAGCCCTGGTTTAGCCCTGGTTTAGTCCCGTTTTCATCTCTGGTTTAGTCCCGGTTTAGTCTCTGGTTTAGTCCTGGTTTAGTCTCTAATTTAGTCCTGCTTGAGTCCTGGTTTAATTCTCTTTTAGTCTCTGCTTTAGTTCCTGAATCACTGCTCGAAAACTGCTTTTTTTAGTTGGGTTTTAGCATCAGAAAGTCTCCAAAAACTACAATACAAAGACTTTCACTTTAGTTTACTTTTGCTGACAAATTGAACATTGTGTACAGTTTTTGTTTCATGTGGATAGGCCCAGTGATTACAGAGAAATGAACCATAAATCAACAACAAGTCAACAAATCTGCAATCTGTTACACACCAAACTCCACTGTCCAGCTCACTTTAAACTACAGGGATATGAATGTTTTGGTGTCACATGAGCACAGCGTATTTTAGCTCCTGTTTTGTGATAAAGTGAAGCGAGGTTTAAATGTTTTGAACAGCGGTGCTTGGTGGTTTGTGTCCCTGTTGTGTAACTGTTTTGTGTAAAGAGACAGACGCTGCTTCAGTGACAACGTTGTCTTTATTTTACGGGCGATGGAGCAGAGAGACACAACCTGTTCAAAGGTCAACACAAGAAACAGCTACTGCCACGAGAAGAGAGGGAGGGGGTGATAGAAAGATAGAGGGAGGAGAGCAGAGAGGGAGGGAGGAGAGGGAGTGAGAGAGAGGAAAGGAGAAGAGGGGGAAGATAGAAAGATAAAGAGAGGAGAGAGGGAGGGAGGAGAGAGGAAAGAGAGGGGAAGGAGAGGAGAGAGAGGAAAGAGAGGAGAGAGAGGGCAAAGATAGAGAGGAGAGAGGCAGGAAAGAGAGGCAGATAGAAAGATGGAGGAAGGAGAGAGGAGAAGGGGGGAGGAGGGAGAGGTACATAGAAAGATAGATAGAAAGATAGAGAGGAGAGAGAGGGAGAGAGTTGGAGTGGGAGAAAGGGAGGATGGAGAGAGAGTAGAGGGAGGTGGTGAGGGAGTGAGGTAGAGCAGGGGAGAAAATAGAGAGAGAGATGGAGGAATAGCGGGGGAAGAGAGGAGGAGCAGATAGAAAGAAGGAGGGAGGAGAGAGGAAGAGGGGAGTAAAGAGGAGGAGAGCGCGGGGAGACAGGAGAAGAGAGAAGAAGAGGAGACTAGAGATAGAGAGAGGTGATAGAGAGTGAGAAAACAGAATGTGAGAGACGAGTAAGAGAGAAAGAGGAAGGAGAGGAGACTAAGTGAGAGAAAGAAAGAGAGAGAGATGGAGGGGGAGAAAGGAAGGGTAGAGAGAGAGAGAGTAGAGGGAGGTGATAAGAGAGAAGTAGCAGGGGAGAGGGTAGAGTGAGAGAGAGATGGCGGGAGGGAGGAAGAGCAGGGCAAAAGAGGAGGAGCAGATAGAAAAATGGAGGGACGAGAGAGGAAGAGGGGAGTAAAGTAGAGGAGAGGAAGGGGAGACAGGAGAAAAGAGATGGAGAGGAGGCTAGAGATAGAGAGAGGAGATAAAGAGTGAGAAGACAGAATGTGAGAGAGTCAGAAGTGAGAAAGAGGAAGGAGAGGAGGCGAGAGAGATGGGGAGAGGGAGGAAGAGAGGAGGAGATAGAGAGATGGAGGGAGGAGAGAGGAAGAAGGAAGTAAAGTAGAGGAGAGAGGGGAGGGAGGTGATAAGAGAGAAGTAGGAGGGGAGAGAGAGAGAGAGATGGCGGGAGGGAGGAAGAGCAGGAAGGAGCAGATAGAAAGAAGGAGGGAGGAGAGAGGAAGAGGAGAGTAAAGTAGAGGAGAGGGTGGGAAGACAATAGAAGAGAGAAGAAGGGCAAAGAGACGGAGATACGGAGATAGAGAGAGGTGATAGACAGTGAGGAAACAGAATGTGAGAGATGAGTAAGAGAGAAAGAGGAAGAAGAGGAGACCGAGTGAGAGAAAGAAAGAAAGAGAGAGCCCTCCACAGTAAACAGATGCATTGGAGCCGCTGTTTGTTGACTCAGGTTAAATACCGACAGGTTTATAGTCACAGTTGTAAAAGCTCTGGTACTTCATCATGGTGATTAGTGAGTCTCAACCCAAATTAGAGACTAATACTGAGGCTGGAACATTTTTACTCTTCAAATTTGATGTTCTCTATAAAAACAAATAAATGTTTTTTTTTTTGTTTTTTTTTTAAGGGTCTTGAAAACAGACAGAGCTTACTTTTTGAATGTCTCTCTTGTTAAAGGGGCTCTGTGTCACGTTTCTGGTGAAGTTCCAACACGTGCTTGTCTCCTTGGAGATGTTATTGCTTGGCCTGGAATGTTCCACAGTATAGCATTAAATTATCTATTTAGCATTTATTAAATTCAGTTGATTTTAGTGCTCAAAAATACAAGCAACAAGCTCAGCAACAAGCATTCTGACTGTCAGCAGGGTTGCCACTATACAGATCTGACCTTGAGCGTAACTTGGCCTATTGGTGCTACTTGCTACTTCCATGGAGACAATCAAGTTGCAGAAAAGTTACAAAACCACACAGTGGCCGCACATGACAGTATTTTTGACAAGGGTTTTGAAAATATCTGATAACCAAAATATTGTGATTTAATTCATTCTTCTCACCTTCCTCCTGTCCACCTCCACAGCCCAGCGGTCGGCTCACGAGCTCCCCCTGGTGGAGCGTCAGGACATAGACAGCTGCTGTGTTCTGGGAGGGCAGCAGATGATCCTGAACGGACACAACTTCAGCTCCGACTCCAAGGTCATCTTCATGGAGAAAACACAAGGTCAGTGCAATTTACAGCTACTCATGTCTGGGATTTCCATTGTTTATTAGAAGTGTCTGGGCTTGTCCTGTTTTTCTCAGTTCTCAGTTTTGTTCTGTAGTCCTGGTGTAGTCCTGGTTGAGTCCTGGTTCAGTTCAGGTTTAGTTCTGTAATCCTGTTTGGTCCATTCATCACTTAGTCTGGGCTGAGTCCTTTTTTAGTCCTGGTTTAGTCCTGGTTCGCATCTATAATCACTGATAGTCCTGTTTCAGTGTGCGTTACTAGGCAGTGTGAGGAAAATTTGTGCTGCCCCGGTTCAGTTATATTGTATAAGCAGCTCTTGAGGTTAAAATAAGTAATCTAATTATAAAGCCACTAAACAGGAAGTGTGTCTTAGTATGCTAGTAGCTTTACAGTCATGGAAAAAGTCCACTCTAGTCTATGAAAGTTGTGAAACCCATTTATAAACTAATCATGGTGAATAGTTAAGGTAAGAGAGGAATAACTTTGAACCACTGCGAACTTTTTCACGTGAACTTCTGTTTCTCACGTTTTTAAGACAGGTACAGCGTTTTTAAATATGCTTTCCATAGTTGCTCAGTCGTGTATGTCGTGTATGTCAGGTGAATAGTGGAATACTTTTTGTCTTTGTGCACTTAGTTACAGTCACAGGTGTACTTCTATTCCTGCATTGTGCTACCGAAACATTACTCAACACTGTAGTAACAACACCTTAAAAGGACTGACACCACATCTGAGTTTTCCTTCTTTCGTTCTTGTGTCACTCCTGTTGAGATGAAGCTCTGTGCTGTGACTGGTTTTTGTCTGATCTACGTGATAAGAAAATGTGTAGAGTTCACTTCCTTTAAGTTTCCTCGCTGACAGAAGTTTTGTGTAAACCTGGACACATTTCTCACAATTGTTACACGTCACATTTGAGAAGATATTTTTACACATTTTAATTGATACCTACGCTAAAGGAACATATCTGCAGCACCAACAGCAGCCGTAGCAGTAGTAGTAGTAGTAGGAGTAATAGGAGTAATAGTAGTAGTAGTAGTAGGAGTAATAGGAGTAATAGTAGTAGTAGTAGTAGCCAGGAGAGTTGACTTGGAGACAAAGGGGTCTGGTGTCCTGGGGCCCAGAATTGAACCCACTTTCTATTAATTTATATTTAAGGGCGTCCATGTGAGTCTTCATGCCCCAGTCCCTCCACTTTCTGTCTCCAGAAAGTCGTAGGTGTATCAGTAGTTATCGCATTACTACTAATAGCAGTAGTAGTTGTATTCTTAGACTTAGGGAGTTGTTAGGCAGTTGTTGTTGTTTTTGTTGTTGTATTAGTAGTAGCTATTGTAGTAGTTCGAACTTTTAACATATCTGTTATCTGCAATAACGTATCTGCAATAATTTGGCAGTAGTAGTAGCAGTAGTTCAGTAGCAGCAGTGGTTCAGTAGCAGCAGTAGTTTCAGTAGCAGTAGTACACTTTTACAGTTGTGTTTAAATAAAAATGACTTAAGAACATAAATAACATCTGTATTTTATTGGGAGGATATTGGCAGAACTTTGTGGCTAAACTCCACAAAACAATTGCATTTGGTCTTTTTTTCCATTTGGGACCAGGAAAAATAACTCATCTAAGCGAGTGCATGTGCTGCTCTGAGTGAAAGTGTGTTTTTAAACTCTGAGCTGCAGCGGAGCCTCTGAGTCACCAGGGTTTGTGGCATTTACAACAGATTGGTTTAGCTGTGAAATAATATGAATGAAATAGGCAAATAAAACATAAAATAACATGGTAAACATTATGAAAACTGCATGAATACTTTGTAATGACATCGCACTGGGGGAGGTCTGCATGTATGTCTATGTGCACTTTAGCAAACAGAGCCTGATGAGTTTTAAGGTGGTCTGAAAACTCATACAAAATGGATTTAAAAAGCATATTTACATGGTTTGGTTTAAGTATTTGCTTTTCAACACAAAGGTGAGAGTGACTAACTGAAGAACTGTTCATGCTCGATAGTGTGTGGGCCATTTTATGTGTGAGAAATTTGGTTGCAGTTCCAGCTACTTCAGTTCTTTATGGTCAGACTGTGTTAAAACAAAGCTCAAATAAAGTCTAACTTCAGACAGAGAAGTGCCTCAAGTTATCTCCACCCTCTAGAGAATGTTGATGATGCAAATTATCAATATTTGGGTAAAATTCAGCAACATGGAGTCACAAAAAAGCAGCTCAGGGAGGGAATTCTGGACGTTCTGAGCATTCACGTGAGCCCTGTCCATAAACTGAGAATGAGACAAAAGTATATGTGTCTCTATCTGCAGGTTAAGACACTGATAACACAGGTTCAGTTGTGATTTTAATACATTTTTAAAGCGTTATATTTTCTTTTATTTCCTGACAAACCTTTTTGGCCCTGCTCTAATCAGAGTCTGAGTGATGCGTCCTGACAGGTGCTATAGAAACCAAAGTAAATCACCACTTTAACTATTTCCACAGCTGCTATTGAGACTACCGCTTGTATTGGAAACTTCTTCCAGTGCAGGGAGAAAGAGAGGGAGGGAGGTGGAAGAGAGAGAGGATGGAGAGGGAAATGGAGAGAAAATATAGAGAGGAGGGAGGGGAGGAAATTGTGAGAGGTTAATAGATAATAAGTGAGAAGAGAAAGGACAGGGAACGAGAGAGGAGACACAAATAGAAGAAAAATAAAAAGACAGGGTGAAGACAAAAGAAGAGACAAGAGGGAGAAATGAGAGAGAAAGAAGAGAGGAAAAGAGAGAGGATAGCGAGAGAGAGGGAAACAGGAGAATTGATGAGAGAGTGTGAAAGAAAGGATAGGTGAAATAGAAAAAAAGAGGGAGAGAGAGAGAGCGGGGAACCCCTTCAGTGCAGTATTTCTACATGCGTTGTAGATTATCCCAAACAGGGCTTTCCCTCTCAGCGTGGGCCCCGGACTCTGAGCAAACAGATCCAGAGCCAAGAATCAAAACAGTCACGTTTCTGTGCACAAGACCAGAGAACAGCTCATACCAGGGCTGCAGCCATTCTCCACACAATATAGAAGCATTTACACAGTGCTTCTGAAAATGTATTTATAGTTACACAATGCTGAATATTTACTAGAACATTAGGACTACAAGATTAAAGGGTCAGATCTGTGTTCTAATGTGTTTTCCTCATCACAAACAGACCTGGTTCTGTTTTGTTTCATTCACACATGATTAAAGAGTCATTAAACACCCTCCCGAAGCTTTAATCTGCCCCTAAGAGAAATCTGAAAAATCCTTCAGAATGGCGGCGGTTTGAGGGGAGCGAGTGTGGAGCGGGCTCTGGAGCGATGATTGACAGCCGATTGACAGCCGCAACAATCCAACACGGCTCGGACCGGTGCGCTGCAGACTTTGAAACAGAGCGGACGTTTGTGCTCGGATCACGCCTTTTCTCTTTTCTCCAGACACGGCGGGACATCGCGGTGCCCAGTGGTGCCAGATAAGGGCGGCGCTGAGAGGGGCTCGTCATGTACTGCCCGTAAACGCCAGTGGCTGTACTTGTCACGTAATAACCTGCATCTGACTCATTGGCGGCTGTTAGTCCAACCCAGAAATTCAAATGTACTGGCCGTAGTTGATCCTAAAGAGGCCGTTACAGACACGACTTTTGACCCAAAAATCAGATTTTTAACAAATATGCACTAAAAGGCCAGGGTACACCTTTTACACTTAGCCAGGTTGGAAGCACCTTGTGCCTCCACTCAGTTTCATTTCTCTCCAGCAACTAGGTCAGGAATCAGAATACACTAGACGGTTTGCAAGAATCCCGGAAGTTTAAGTTTGGGCACCAGCCAATCAACAAAGAGCCGTACATTCTGTTTTGCAACGATTCCCGAGATCAAGGATTTAAAGCTGGAACAAAGAGAATGTTTGGTGAATTTTATCAAAGGGAAAGACGTTATTGCCCTTCTTCCTACGGGATTTGGGAAAAGCTTAATATACCAGTTATCCCTGTTAGCGGCACATTACATAAATCAAACAAACAAATAGCAACGATTGGTTAAATTAAAATAAAGTACCCACCTACTGTCGAGCGAACGAATCCTAATGCTGCAAGGTCAGACGGTTTCCACGAAGTGAAACTAATTTATACCACTAATCAGTAGAAAAAGGTGATTTTGTTGTTTAGTGGCCCTTTAACACAGACCCTGTTTGAGTTCTTCTTAAAGAGAAAACACTCTGTTCCACCTTGAGATGTCATGTGGTAATACAGGAAGTGCTCCATTGTGTTTTTAAACTTTATACACTTTCAGTGGAATTATTCGGATCGTTTCAGTCCTGGAAGTGCCCATCTCTACTGAACAAAAGGTAAAAAGTAGCTGTTGCTTTAAAACGACTACTTCATGATGTCACAAGGTGGAACGGAGCATTTTGATCTGTGAAGATGAAGACAGAGTAGTCTGCCTTAACCTTCTTTGAAATGTAGTATTTTGTAACATGGTATTGTATTCTGAATACTTAGAATACCTTCACTTTAAGTTGCATAATAGTATCAAATACTTGTCTGTGAAATCCAAATTTCAACAAGTAAAAACAATTGCATTTTTAAGCATTTCATGTTTCAAAATTTTCTTGATTCCTGTTTACTCCTGTGTTTTGTCTTGTGCATTTGTAATATTATGTTGTAGTAACAGTAGGCCTCTCAGGAGTACTGTGCAGTTGGCTTGAGCAGTGGAATCCCCCCCTCCCTCTCTCTTCTCTGCCCCTCTCTCTCCCCTCTTTCCCCCCTCTCTCTTTCTTTCTCTCTCTGCTGACTCATTGAGGACATGTGTTGTTCATTTTCAGGGTTTCCCACCTACAGTAACCACCAAACACAGCTCTGCGTCTGTAGCTGTGAGGAAGTGGGGTCCAAAAGGTTCACAGGCTCTTTCACACTTTTCCAAAGCAGCTCCACGCACGTGCTTTCTGCAGATCTGATCGCCTGATATGAGCTACTGTTACTATTGATACTCAGCTGTTGATGGCGTCAACGTTCTCTGGGGGCGTGATGCTAACTGAAGGCACTGCTCTGTCTAAAGTTATTCAAGTTAGATTTTAATCTGTCCATAAAGAACTGATTTAGAACAACAACAGGATGGGAAGTATTTCAGTTAGTCACTCTCACCTTTTTGTTGAAAATCAAACTCCTAAATAGAACCATGAACACACACAGGCTCATGAAAATGTGTTTTCTAAATCCATTTTGTATTTTCTCTTGAGTTTTCAGACAATCTTTTTTGGCAGTTTGTGCATTGTGTCCCCATGGTAATTGCTGAACATCCATCATAAACATACAGGCACAACACCCCCAGCATGATGTATTGTATTGTATATGGAATTAAAAATTGTGCGTGCATTGTGCGTTTATTCAGTTACAATTACTATAAAATTTTGCCTTGAAAAGCATGAATTCACCTTCTGTCTTGACCTAGTTATGCTGTCTGTGTCTCCATGGAGATAAATAGGTTTAATACCATACTATGAAACATTCCCAGCGTCTCAACAGTACATTAACCGTGTTTATTTGTGTTTGTTTATGCAGATGGACAGCAGATCTGGGAGATGGAGGCCACAGTGGACAAAGACAAGAGCCAACCTGTGAGTGTTAAACTTCTTACACTTAAATGTTCCATATTACACAATTTTCTGATCTATATTATAATGTTTCCTTATCAAAAACCTACCTGGAGTAGTGTTCTGTATATAAATAACCTTTTTTTGTTATGTAATTGTTTAAACTGTCAGAAAAATGTGCTTCTCGTGCATAAATTGTCCCTGTATTTTGTATGGAATTTTGTTGACACAGGGATTCCTTTTTAGAACTCAACACTTCCTCCTGTAATTTTCAACTTTTACTCACAACCTGCCACATATGAGATAATAATCATATATATTTTAACTGTGAATATGTATTTCAGAACATGCTTTTTGTGGAGGTGCCTTCGTACAGAGACCCGTCTGTGCTCCATCCGGTCAAAGTGAACTTCTATGTGATCAATGGCAAAAGGAAACGCAGCCAGCCACAGCACTTCACCTACACCCCACTGCCATGTAAGAGGATCACAAAACACATCAATATACTAGTATGAGTGCTTCAACAGTATGAGCCGATCATATGGTAGATGTTTTTACCGTTTTAAAAACTGTTGAAGTCATAGCTCTTGGTCATGGAAATGGTTGTGGTTTGTGGTTTAGTTCTGGTTTTGTTCTGATTTTGTTTGGTTCTTATTCCTGATCTAGACCTGATTTAGTTACCCACGTAGACTTTATAACATCTAGGTTACAGGACATTATAACTTCTTAGTAAATTTGTTTTGTGTGTTTCTTGTTTTCAGCTCCGTCCATTAAAACGGAGCCTCTAGATGACTATGACTTCGTGATGCCTCAGATGTTTTACCACAGTCAAAGAGGAGTCCTGCATCCAGAAAACAACCTGGTCCCCAACATGGCATCATGTCTGGGCTCTGGCATCTCAGAGGTCAGTAATGAGTTATGTTTACCCAATAACTTGTATAGATTTGAGTAACATCTATTTCTACTCATATATTATGGTATATTTGAGCTTTGCTCCGATGGTAATGATGAAAATTGCATTATGTTTCCACAATTTTGCATAACTTCCAAACATTAAACTCAACCCTTGTACTCAAGAAATATTAAAGAGATGTTTTTATTCATAGATTTAAAATTGCCCCAGTACAGATGTATTGAAAAAACAGCTCTTAAGATCAAAATGAGACTGCTGGGCTGCCTGCATCTAATTAGAAAGCATTTTTATCCTCTGTGAACCAAGAATGCATTACGAAGACAGTTCTGCTCTGGTCTTCAAAGGGTGCGAAAAGCACTTAAGAATAATTAGGATGCTCAGAATGAATTTGGACCACTGCAAACTGTTTAAAAGTCCTAAATTACACAAAACTGACTTTTGTGAGCTTTAAACCCTGTTAAAATGTTGCTACCTCCGCACAGACATACCCAGAGTTGTGTTTTGTTTCATTCACACATGTTTAAGTGTAATTCTAGCATAATAAGGGCTCATTAAAATGAACTACTTCTGTTTTTCACATTTTTAAAACAGTAAAAATCAGATATAATGCCTTTAATTACACACACAACGGAACTTCTTACCTCTCCCCCTTCCTCTGTCCACAGGAGGGGAGGTTCCAGCAGCAGAGCTCGGCCATAGTGTTCTCTCGTGGGGGTAAATCGTTGAACTCGGGCCTGTACCAGCAGCACACCCCCGGAGTGATGCCCGACCCCCATCACCGCTCAGTCCTGGTGCACACCGGATCACCTGCGCAGCACCAGTCAATCATACAGTTTTCTCCGACCAATCAGCACCTGCTACCGAGAGCAGGGGAAGCTTTAGCCCCGCCCCCTCATGATAATCAACAGGTGAGATAAGAAACACACAATGCAATCTTATTTACTCTTATTACAGCTAAATGACTTTGGAGAAATATTCTGTTTGTATAAGAATTACAAGAAGACTGAAATATGAGTTAATACAAGATTAGGGTGAACAGATGTCCCTATGTACCCGGGACAGTCCCAGTTTTGAGCCCTGTGTCCCCTGTCCCAGCAGATTTATACAAAAGCAGTGATTTATCCCAGTTTTATTCAAGAAATGTCCCAGGTGTCCTGTTTTTGACCAATTTGATCTAAACCAGGACTAAACTAAGACTAAACCAGGATTAAATCAAGTCAAAACCAGGACTGAAATAGGACTATCACAATTTTCGACTAATCATATCCTCGCCAACAGTAACAAGGAGCATACATTGGCATTTGTTTAGCCAATATACAGAAAACCGTGTTTGCAAAAAAAAATTTAAAATAAAACATGCAGCATCAGAAGTCAGATTATGACTGGCTCGAGAATGCAAAATGTTACACGCTCTTTTCACAATTTTTTTTTTTTTTATACCAACCATCCCAACTTGTTTGTATCAGTATAGAATTTTGAAATCTGGTCACCCTATACAAGAATCACATGTGTTTCAGAACATGTTTGCAGTAGGCTTTTCCAAAACAAATACATACTCGGATACTAATCAATACTAAAACTAGTATTGAAACTATAGATCCTTACAGTGACTGTAAACAGAAAGACTGCATTTGGAAGGCTGGTACCTCACATTAGCTTTTCAATGGGAGAGTTCCAAACACTGCTAACTATGGAAAACCAGAGCTGTTTTGGCGACTGACAACCGCTCAGTCATGTGAGTAACACCAGAGCCTCAGTAGAAAACATCAGCACATGTACTGGAGTGTTTCTCTTGGTTAAAATTACCATTCAAACTAACAACAACAGCATAATCATTTATATGTAACATTCACTGGACACAATACAATTTCACATTTATTTCATCTTTAATAAGTGAACTTTACAGAATGGAGGTGAAAGTTTGATCTTGACTAGTATTACGTGTTAGCAAATGTAACAAACATTAAAAAAAATTGTCTCTTTGTATCTACATATGACAGTTTTATTTGCATTAAAATGAATGGAATAAAATATCAGCGCCATGTCGCTCCTGGAACCATCTATTTAAAAAGTGATAGTTTTTGTCTGGATATTAGACTTAGACAAACTTTATTGGTCCACAAGGGAAATTATTTGGACACAGTAGCTCACACATCACAATATAATATAATAACAAAGAGCGAAAATATAAATGGTAATAGTAAATTCTAAAAAAGTAGCAAAATAGATAAGTCAAGTCAAGACAAGTCAAAATAAAATAGTAATAAAATATAAAATCACAGCTTTATGCAAGAGCTCATAAGAAGACAGTGCAACAATAATATGATGATTGACAGGACATAGGGTTATACTTTATATTACTGGAATGAATAAATGCACCTTTCAAGACACTCAAAGATGCTTTAGAGAACATTATTCATTCATGTCCACGTGTAACTTTGATTGTGCTACTGAAACATTAATATAATCAGGACGAATGAAACATTTCTTCTGTCTGATCTTCTCCAGGTGGTGTACTGTGAAGGCTACTCTCCACAGGCCCACTCCCCCTCTCACCCCCAGTCCTACCCCACAGTGATCCAGCAGCAGTACCTCCAGAAGACTCCTCCTCCCCCTTCAGCGCCGCAGCAGCAGAAAGCACGCGCCCCCTCAGCCCCTCAAGACCCACAACGCAGAGTCACAGTCAAAGAGGAGAATCTGGACCAGGCTTATCTCGATGATGGTGAGTGTAAGTCTGAGTTTTATTATTTCAAGCTTCACTCTCTTTATTAGGAAGTGCATTTTATATGAGGGTGTGCTGTTCCATTACAGCTATCAGCAGTGCATATTGTTGGGTCAACATGCAAGACACTTCATCAAGCTGATCACCTCAAACTGTAGAAAAAAGAGTAACAAGTTGGTGGATTTCTTGGGACATGAAATGACAGACAAACTCAAATGGAAAAGTTATAACATCTTTAGCTGTTAAAATGAAAAATATTCTGAAACTCTCTCCAAATTTGAGCCATGGTTGTAGTAGTTTAATAGGCAGGACTACTTTGAATGTATTTGGATATTACAATAATTCAAATTATTTTTATTAATCCTTTATTTAAAAATGACACTAAAATCACTCTTTATGTTGTGGTTAAACAAAGATCAAATAAGGTCATGATTAGGGCTGGGTGTCATTAAGATGTTGCTGATACGATACATACCTCGATACATAGGCCACGATACGATACATATCTTGATACAGTGAGCTTTTGATTTGATACGATATATTTCCAATTGATTCGCTACAGTTCAATAACAAAATAGCAAAATTATGTCTGTGATACTAAAAGTCTTTGTTAAACCACTTCTTGTGCAAACTTCATATGAAACACAAACATTTTAATCATCAAAACAGTGAAAATGTCAAATGTTTTGCATAGACAAGTTTCCTTCCACTAAACAAGCAACAAAACTGTAGCGCTGTAACAAAATAATTTAGTAAAATATACCAAAAAATACTCTTGGCGATATATCAGTACAGCAGCCCCCGATATTGATACTGTATCATCAAATTAAACGACACAATATATTGATATTTAGATTTTTTTTGCACATCCCTAGTCATGACAGTAGTAATGACGTTGTTTCATTCACTCCATACTCTGTGGTGGTAAACTACAACTGTAGCCACAGCTGCCCTGGGGCAGACTGACAGAACTGAGGCTGTCATTCTGCACCATCACCCCCTATAGCCATAAACTGACTCACACTAGACAAGGTGGGTAAAGTGTCTTGCACAAGGACATAGTAACACCAGTTTGCTACCTCACTGTTGCATTCCCAACGTCTCCCATCCAAGTGCTGCCCAGACCTGACCCTGCGTAACTTCAGAGATCAGATGAGATCAGGCATTCTTAATGTGGTCCGGTCATGTCCATTGTCATTGGCTGTAACTGATGATAAGACAGGGCACCACTGCTTTTCATAAGAACAATTCAAGGATATTTACTCTATCTCCTCCATCTCCTTCACACATATTTGCTTTTCAATATGGCGTCGCGATCTAGCTCTGTTCAAACAATCCCGTCCGTATTGGGTGCAGCTATGTTCCACTCAAATGGGAAATAACATAGGATTCTGACTCATGTGTTTATACTGGTGCTGTCGACCTGTTAGCTCGCAGTAGTATTGATGTGGGGTCACTTCCAGCTGCCGCCCTGTCCTCTGCTCTCTGAAGGCAAAGGGAAGCAAAACTATATCAACAAAATGTAAGGGCGAATCACTCAAGTGTCAAACTCATATTGTCTTAACACTTAGGATGCTATAGGATGTTATCATCATCATAACATCTTTGCGTTGGTATTTCATGTGTTTGTATCTTAAAGGTGAAGTATGTAGCTTCTGGCAGCAGTCCCCCATCTTCTTGTTTCCATAGAGATGTTATTACTGGCCTGGATTATTTCATGGCATCGCATTAATCTTAGCTAAAGCAGGCACATTTTTTGCAGGTGTTTTTATTGCTCTGAAATAAACGTAATCCCCTAAACAAGCATTCTCACTATGACATGCAGTCTCGCTTTGAGAATGCATGTTCACAGATCTAACCTGTGGTGTGACCTCTTTGTCTCTACTGATATACACATTTAATGCCATACTGTGGTACACTGAAATAATGAAGCAATAACTTCTCTATGGAAAGTAGCAGGGGTGACAGCTACACCAGAAATGTTACATAGTGCAGTTACATCAGTTATTTCAATTACATTTTTAAATGTGAAAAACAGAACTCATTTTTAACATTTGAAACAGTTTGCAGTGGTCCAAAGGTCACCTACCTTATGCATTCAGAGCATCTTAATTATTTACCATGATGACTTTAGAAGCTCTTTTAACAACTTCGAGACCAGTGCAAAGTTTTGTCATGACAGTAAATCTATCAACTAGCATGCTAACAAACACTTAGGCTTAGATTTAGACTTAGACATTATTGATCCACAAGGAAATTATTTGGACACAGTTGCTCACACACAATAATATAATATAATAACAAAGAGTAATAAAACATATCAATTGTAATAATAAATTCTAAATAAGAAGTAAAAAAGAGCAAGAGACGGGTGAAATAAGACATAATTATAGAAATGTATATGTACAAGTCAAAATAAAATAGAAAAATAATGATATGATGATTGACAGGACATAGGGTTATCCGTTACATAAAGATGAGTTGTTGTACAGTTGTATACAGTACGGTATGAATGATTATTTGCCAATAAAATTATTTATACTTAGATTCAGACAATACATATCAAATTTATTTTAAGCTCATTCAATGCGGCAAGACACATTTTGGTTAAACACATGGAAGAAGGAATGGCAATTTAAATAAGAATTGAAGAAGGACAATTTAGATGTCCAAAAGCTTCCTCTCTAGGTTACCTTTAATAGTAATAATAAAATAAATATAGTTTCAAAAAATCATGCTTTTAAATAATTATGATTTCAGCTATTTTCACAACAAAGCAGCTGTAGTGCAGCGTCTCCTTTAAAGTTACCTGTCCTGTTTATTTGTTTAGGAAATTAGTTTGAAAATGCGAGAGCAAAACTGTCACTGTCCCGGGCGGCGGACATGTTGACGTGTTGTGAAGTGAAAAACAGTCTCCATGGTGACCATTGTCCGGAGCTTTAGAGGCTGGCTGCGTGTGCGCGGGGAAGCCTGGGTTTGTTATGCTTGGCTGGGTTGCTCCTTGGCCTTAGCCCCTCACTTCTCCAAGGGAACCCACCAGAGGATAAGGCTTTTTTCCGACCACAGAATCCTGCCAGTGTACTGTATCTGGCAACCGAAAAGCCTCTTCGCAGCTGCTCCGCTCCAGAAAGCACTGTGATCCCTGTAAGAAGCCATGCACTGTAAAAAATGCCACCCCTTGTTTTAGTTTAGTTCATATTCAGTCTTACAGGCACTGTATATGATTTTCACCTCTTTAAAATGTGAAAAACAAAACTTGTATCTTTGTAAACGGTTCGCAGTGATCCAGAGTTATACCTTACTTAACTTATGCGCTCAGAGCATCCTAATTGTTTGCAAGTTGATTTTTGAGCAACTACAATTTCAGTAGATGCTGTAAGCAAACTAGTACAGCAACTAACGATTATTCTGGTTATCAATTAATCTGGCAATTACTTTTGATACTACTACTGAATTACTCTAGTGCAGGGGTGTCAAACTCAAATTCACAGAGGATCAAAAAAACTGGGACAAAGTCATGGGCCAAACTAAATATTTATTGAAAATTTCAACAACATCTACATGTTTTCTCTTCTTTTGAGATATGTAATGTTAAACCTTTTCTTATAAATAAAATAAATGTTTAATAATAGTTTAGCTTAAAACATTGAATCAAAACAAGCATCATATAAAATAATAACATTTTAAATAAATAAATATTAAATAAATAATGTCTCTATAGTCTATCTGTAACCAGTGGGCCAGCTCTAATACATATTTGATATGATCTCACGGACCAAATATAATTATATCATGGGCCAAATTTGGCCCCTGGGCCTGAGTTTGGCATGCCTGCTCTATTGTGTCCTGTGAGGAGCTCTGTCAGATTCACCTCTAAGCTGTGGAGACATTGGCAGTCTTGTCTGTATATATTATAACATGTATTGTATATTTTATTTTTTATTCTTCTGGTTTTTATATACTTGCTTACTATGAACCAGATAGTATGTGTTCTTAATAAAGACTGAATTTAATTGATTAATCGATTAGTTGTTTAGATTACGAAAGGCATATGAGTGAGATTTTTATTAAACTGGACCAAGATGAACCTAAAGAGATGCCACCAGAGAACGTCTTAATATAATATACAGTATTTACCACAAAATTATAACAAAACCTCTTCTGTGAGCACACAGCATGTTTGGAGTCTGTGTATAGTCAGGAAAACGATTTATCAATTACTAAATGATTTGCCAGCTATTTCAATTAGTGTTTAGTTGCGATTAATCTATTAACTTGCTTCACCGCTAAAGTAAATACAGAAATATTGCGTCTCCATTGGGGGTCTTATTGTGTTTTAAAAAAAAAAAAAAAAAGCTCATCTTGGAGTTGAGTTAAATTATATATTGTGTACCATTTCGTTTGTTTTGGCTCTTTGAAATGCAAATCAAACTAGCAATTGTTTTTAAAATTGCATTTAGTTCAATTGTCTTCACCTCTTACTTATTGAGTCACTGGCCAGATGACATTAAAGTTGTACTATGTCACTTTTATGGTGGAGTTCTATAGTGTGTCATTAAACTGAGGAGAGCCCAACATGTTTTTCAAGGTATTAATATAATATATGCATCTGTAATTATAGAAATACAAGATAGATAAGTTTAATGCCATACTTTTAAACATTCCAAGTCAATATCATCTCCATGGAAACATTCAGTTGTGACCCATCCACCAGAAAGGTTACCCAGTGCGCCTTTAGTGATTAGATCTCCTGTAGTCATATTTGTGTTTTACAGTGCAGTATTTGGGAGGAGAGCAGAGGAAAAGGAAGGGGCCGGTGCATGTGTTTGTGTCAATGGAAAAGTTGAAACAGCGAAAAAAGCCGAGAGGAAAAAAAAAGTTGGAATTTGTGTGTTTTGGCCGGAGCTTTGGGTTTCCCTGCAGTAAACAGAAACAGTGTTAGAGTGTATGAATGGACAGGAGCGCAGCAGACATGGACCTCAACTCAGCCAACATCAAAT